GCAGTAATATCACTCCTGTTATCGTGTAATTTTACAAAATCCAACAGTATTTGTAAGCAATCATTATTGACTATTCCAACCAAACATTTACGTCTTGTGCGCTAATGTAAGAATTTTCTCTTACAAAAAAAAAAAAATTTCTTGATGCAGGAAAGATGAACGTCTGCCTATTACCAAATAAATTCTAGATGCCAATAAAATATAGGACAAATTCCACTTTACCCCTTTGTGGTTTGGAGTTTTTTTACATAACTCCTCTATAGTTTCAAAAGCTATACATAACCTTCTTATGGTTTGGATTAAAGTGTCAATGTAACGGGAATGATCATTCGTAACGGAGTCACCTAAAATGTCAAAAATACCCTTATGTAAAGTTGAAAATTATTTATTAACCAAGGGGGGTTATGTGTATATTTTGAAAATCATAAAGGGGTTATATGGTAAAGTATTAAATCATAAGGGAGTCATATGGTAAAATATAAAAATCATACGGGATTAGTGTGTCATGTATTTATAAGAGTAATTTCGACATTTTTAGAAGTTCCGTGACCAATGATAATTTCCGTCACTTTGACACTTTAATCCAAACCATGAGGGGGTTATGTATAGTTTTTGAAATCATAAGGGGATTATGTAAAAAATATTAAATCACAGGGGGTAAAATATAATTTGTCCTAAAATATACGTAATTCTCCGTTAATAACTGACATCGATCGGAACGTAAATTGTAAATCTTATGTTCCATGGCGGGCGGGCTCACAGGCTATCTTCGTCTGGCTTGAGACTCTACATCTACAAGTTGGGTTGTGTCAATAGGAACAACGACAAGAAAAAGGACACATAGGTCAAATTTGGCAAACGTTATCCGCTAATTACCTCTGTCACACGTGCAACACACTCACTTGAACCATTCCTGTACGTACTACTAGAGGTGGCAAATTAACCAACTTAACTAAATTTATCCATATCCGTCCATGAATAGATGGATATGAGTATCTTAAATTTTTATATATAGGTATAAATGGGTTACCCAATAATACCCATTTATTAAATGGGTATTATTGGGTAATCCATCAAATTCAATTAACCCAATTAGAATTCTCTTCCCCCCAAGTCTCTTCTTTTCTCCCACCCCTTTTTTTTTTCAAATTTTTTATTTTGTCATGATGTTAACTACTTTTGTTTCATTATTATTATTATTTATTGGTTTTATCTTATTATTTTATTTTCTCTTAGTTTGTTAACTTGCTCATTTTTCAGTATTACCAATTTATGATAAAGTTTAGCCTATTTTCTTATCTTTCTAAAATGAAATTTTAAATTTATATATGAAAAAAATGTTAGAGGTTCAAAATTTTTGGATTAAGTTTTTACATTAATTTTATAGTACTTAGTTCAAATTTTTATATTCTTATTATTCAATTATTAAATAATAGGTAATTTTGTGACATAGAGTATAAATGAAAAAAAAATTGATAATTAGACTTATTGAACATTATAAGTAAATATTTAAAACTAATGATGGGTACAAAGAGCGGTATAAATTGATAACTTAGTTTGTAAAAATGAATTTAAATGAGTTTACCAAAAGTTAAAATAAATGGGTTATAAATGGATAATTGGGTTACCCAATTCATTTTTTGACTTACCCATTTATACCCATTTAATTAAATGGGTATAAATGGGTTGACTCACTTATACCCATTACCCATTTTATCCAACCCAAACCCGCCCAAGTCACCCATTTTGACACCTCTACGTACTACCCAGACAGCAGAAAGATTTGTCGTCAACATAGAACAAATAATTCAACAAATCCAAAGTCTGCCCGAAGATATGAACGTGCTCCTAAGAGCTGAATGTTCATCATGCATGTGACCACATTAATTTAAGTGTAAGTGAGAGAGTTTGCACTTAGAACTTCTCACACAGACTTCCTATCTCTTAGCCTGTCAATGGGGCTATTTGAGTCGGGTTTTAACAAACCCAAACTCATTTCGTATAGTTAGTACCACTCTCAGATTTTGGGTTATAAGTTTCGGATTAATAAATGTGAAACTTATAATTGACTCACAAAATTTTGGCTATGAGTTTAATTTGGGTTTAGTTTAAACTTACTTACTGCTCCTTAATTTTCTCAATATAAGTATTATAACTATTAAGTTCTAAAACTAATTTAATATCCACAGGACCATAGCATTAAAACTATATACAAACCAGTAACATATAACAACTCATTAAAAAGTATATAATCAAGAATTTTTCAATAATAATAAAATATCCAATTAATTCAAATACATGAAAAATAGTAATAAAACGTGAACAACAGTAAATACATCTTCAAAGGTCCTCAATTTACTCATACTAAGATTTGTCTTTCTGAATCTGTAGACGTAATTTTGTATAGTTAATATTTCTTATATATATTAATATATTTTGACACATAATGTATAAAGTATTATTATTATATATTTATATCAAGTTATAATTTTATCGGGTCAATATCAGATTTGAACTTAATAAGGCCCAAGTTAGGCTCATATTTAATTCGAGCTTAATATTTAGATCCAAACACATCTATCTTAACGAAAGATTAGGTTCATTGGACTTTTTCTCGAGCCTAGTAGGCCAAGCTCAACTTATTCCAATTTCATTCACAATCCTATCTCTCCTGAACCACTCAACCCATCCCTCCCCCACCACATTAAGTTATTCCATCAACTTGAAGCAAAAATCCAAAACAAGCCATCAAAGAAACGTAGGAATAGATATATTAGAAGTCTGCGAATTGGTATTGAGTTTATGAGTGCTGATGTGTACATTGATGACTCCATAATGACATGACATCGATACGTCATAATTGGCCGTATTGTCTGATTTACTTTTCGTCCCAAGAAGGAACACCTTCTGGTCATCCACATTGAGCATTGGTTCTGCTAGTGTGCCCACTATGCAAGGCCAGAAAATTAAATTGCTTCTGCCTTTAATTGACTGATAGGGTGTTAATTGTTAGTAATTTTATTGTTAATTCTCCTCTTTATCCTTGCCAAATATTGCTTTAATTGTCAATATATATTTATATTTGGTATTTGGATATAATTTCAGAAAGTGGAGCAGAAAAGTGCTAAAAGGGGACCTTCTTGAGAAGATTTCTCCACACGTGAAAGCTTCTAAAAGCTTTCCACAATCAGCCCAAATTGTGCAAACCAACGGAATTGCTGATGAAGAGTTGCCTTCCTATTATTAAGTCCTGGCAAGTCCACTAGCAATAAGAAATAAAAAAGGAGAGAATTCTGCGGGGACCACGTAACATTGATTTAGAAAATGTGTTCTTCTTTTGGGAGATGTACTCATTAGCCATAGGTGGACTTTGATGATGAAAGTAGCTTTTCTATTTGCTTCCTACGTAACTAGTTCTCTTATGAAACTAGTGCAGAGTTACTCTTATGAAACTAGTGCAGAGGAGAATTAGACGAGAGCTTCATAAGACATTAGACTAGTTTTAGTTTTCTCTCCAAATAAGCTCCGTAGGAGGATAGAGGTAGTTTTTGGTTTTCAGAGAAGGAGTTCTTCCTTCTCTTGTTGTGTGGTGTGCAACTTTTCTTCAAAGAGTCTACGGAGACTCAAGTTTCTTTCTAAATTCTTAGTTAGTTATTTATGTATTTCATTCCAATTAAATTGCGTGAGAATTTTCTTATGAGGAGTGGCTAATTTTCTCCTCTAGTCAAGGATCAACGTGAAGACGCAATCCCAAATATCTGTGAGATCTAATTAGTTTTTACTTGTTCCTTAATTTGTTAATATTTGCATGTTTTCTATTTCAATTTTCATGGGATTATTTTGTTAATTGGATATCAAGAGCCCGATGTGCAATTTGACTCTCTAATCTCCTGTCAAATTAATCATTTAAATTCGTAATTGTTTAAATGATTAATATTAGTGGCAACTAGTATTTTCACATACTAGGGGAACATGCAATCTGATTTAAATAACCCTCGTAGCGTGTTATTAATTTGGGTTAGGCTTTTCTAGTTTTTAATGCAATTAGGAAATTAATTCCTACGGTCGTACCTAGGAGTATTTCCTGATTAGGGGTAATCAACGGTCGTACCTTGGTTATCAATAAATTAAGGAAAAGCTGGTCGTTAGAGCTTATCGGCGACTATAACTAACCTGTTAATAAAATTAAGTGAACCTTCTTTACATCAATGATCGGATGAATGGACTGTGTCTGCGTAGTTGTATCCTTGGCTAGAATTTATTTATTATTTATTTAATTGCTATTTACATTCGTATTAATTAATTATTTATTTTTGGTTAAATTGTTTAATTATTTTTAGTTTATTTCTGATAAAAATCCCTGTGTCCCGAACTTGAAAAGAATCGAATTTTTCCCAATCCCTATGGATTCGACCCTACTCACTACTATACACAGAAAATTTATTTTTCTCGAGTAGGTATTTATTATTGCACAGGCTCGACACCTGTCAATTTTTGGCGCCGTTGCCGGGGACTGTCGTTAATCATTTGTTTCTTTTTAAGTTCATTTTTTTCTGGTATTTTTCTAGTTTATGCCTCGCTTTTTTCTTACAGGCGAATTAATTTTCGACCCTGAAGTAGAGAAGACCGCGCGTAGAACGAGGAAAGAAACCAGACAGCTCAGAGAAGAGCAATACGGTATTGCACCTCAGGAACTTGATCCAGAGGTTGAGCCGACAAATTTGTCTGGTGACAATTCAAGTGATTCAGATCAAGAGGAAGCCACTATGGCAAATGCACGAACACTAAGGGAGTTGGCTGCTCCTGATTTAAATCAGCAGCCCTTGTGCATTACTTTTCCACATTTAAATTATGACACTCCCTTTGAACTAAAATCTGGTCTAATTCATCTCTTGCCATCTTTCCATGGATTACCAGGTGAGGAGCCCTAGCACTTGCAAGAGTTCGACGTCGTTTGCAACAGTATGAAGCCTCCGGGAATTACAGAAGAGTAAATAAAGATGAGGGCCTTCCCCTTCTCTTTGAAGGACTCCGCAAAAGACTGGCTCTACTGCCTACCACCTGGTAGTATCACCACGTGGGACCAACTGAAAAAAAAATTCTTGGACAAATACTTTCCGGTATCTCGAGCTGCAAGCCTAAGGAAGGAGATATGTGGCATCAAACAACACCCAAGCGAATCTCTCCATGAGTACTGGGAGAGGTTTAAGAAACTGTACACCAAATGCCCTCAGCATCAGATAAGTGAACACCTGCTTATCCAATATTTCTATGAAGGACTACTTTTCAGAGACAGAAGCATAATCGATGCTGCAAGTGAAGGGGCGTTGGTGAACAAAACTCCTCAAGGAGCATGGGAGTTAATTGAAGGGATGGCTGAGAACTCACAGCAATTTGGTTCAAGAGAGGACATTCCTACGCGTATGGTGAATGAGGTAGAAACATCCTCTATTCAACAGCAACTCTCCGAATTGACATCTTTTGTGCGACAACTAGCTGTGGGGGCATCACAAGCCAAAGTGTGTGGGGTATGCACTGCCGTGGGTCATCCTACGGAAATGTGTCCACTGGTTCAAGAAGAAATTGCAGAACAGGTGAACATGGCTGGCCACGCGTCTGCTCCAAGAAAGCAGTACGACCCATACTCAAGTACCTACAATCCTGGTTGGAGGGATCACCCCAACCTTAGCTATGGAGGGAATAGGCAGTCTAATTTTGTGCCAAATAGACAGCAAGGGAACCCACAGCAGTACCATCCTCGCCCACCACCACCCTCTTCAAACTCAAGTCCGTCCATGGAAGAGATGATGAAGCAATTACTTGCTAATCAACAAAAGACGGATTCAGACCTGCAAAGCATGAGAAATCAACTGGGACAGGTGCAGTCATTGCAAAATCAAATGAATCAAATGGTTATAACAATTAACCGTTTGGAGTCCCAAGTTCAAGGAAAGTTGCCATCTCAATATGAGGTAAATCCAAAGAATGTAAGTGCAATGACCTTGAGGAGTGGCAAGGAAGTTCAAGGACCCGAACCCGTGATTCCTAAAGACAAGGACGAGGAACGAATCGAGAAAGAATTAGAAGAGGAGGGCAGAGACAACAAAAATGCAAAGGTACCCTCGAACCCAATTCCTACAATTAAAACTAATCCACCTCTCTTTCCTAGCAGGTTAGAGAAACCAAAGAAGCAAGACAAGGAAAAAGAGGTCTTGGAGATCTTTCACAAGGTGGAGATCAACATACCCCTACTGGATGCGATTAAACAAGTACCCAGGTACGCAAAATTTTTGAGGGACCTGTGTGCCAACCGCAAGCGGTTGAAGGGGGATGAATGAGTTATAGTTGGGGAGAATGTTTCAGCAATTCTACAAAGGAAGCTTCCACCGAAATGCGGGGACCCAGGTATGTTTACTATTCCTTGTAGGATAGGTAATATTTTGATTGGAAAGACCATGTTAGATCTAGGAGTATCGATTAATGTCATGTCGAAATCTATTTATGCTTCCTTGAACTTAGGCCCTTTGAAAGAGACTGGAATAATAATCCAACTAGCTGACAGGACCAATGCATACCCTGACGGGTTGATTGAAGATGTTTTGGTAAAAATTAATGAATTTTTTTTTCCATCTGATTTTTATGTGCTCGACATGGAGGATGAAAACTCCCGTGATCCGTCACCTTTATTGTTAGGTAGACCCTTTTTGAGCACAGCCCGAACCAAAATTGATGTTAATAAGGGTACTTTATCTATGGAATTTGATGGTGAGATTGTTCACTTTAACATCTTTGAGACCATGAAATATCTATCCGATTCAAATGTTAGCTCTGTTTTCTCGATAAATGTTATTGACCCTACTATACAGGAGGTTTTTGAAATTGAAGGTAGGGATGAGCTAGAGGTCGCCTTAACTAGGCACTTCGAGTCCGAAACGACCTCTGGGGTAGAGTTGAGTGAAGAGCTCAAATGTGTGATTGGATCGTTGCGAACGTTACCAACCACGAAGACAAGGTATGACCTCGCACCCATTTTTATACCTGAACCTCACAAAAGGTTACTTCCATCTGTGGTACAGGCACCTGTCTTGGAACTGAAACCGCTGCCAAAACACCTGAAGTATGCATACTTGGGTGAAGGGGAGACACTTCCAGTGATCATCTCCCCGGGTTTATCAAAGATTCAAGAAAATAAACTATTTCGAGTTCTAAGGGAACATAAGCAGGCGATAGGATGGACCATCGCCGATATCAAGGGAATTAGCCCCGCGGTGTGTATGCACCGAATTCGACTCGAGGAGAATGCTAAACCCGTACAGCAAGCTCAACGGAGATTAAATCCTCTCATGATGGAGGTCGTAAAGAAAGAGATTTTAAAGCTTCTGGACGTTGGAATTATATTTGCAATATCAGATAGCCCGTGGGTAAGTCCAGTATAGGTGATCCCGAAGAAGGCTGGGGTAACAGTGGAATCAAACCAAGAGGGTGAGCTCGTACCAATTCGAAAGCCCACCGGATGGCGACAGTGTATCGATTATCGGAAGCTAAACGCCGTCACGAAAAAGGACCATTTCCCCTCCCTTTCATTGACCAAATGGTAGAGCGATTAGCATGTCGAGCTTACTACTGTTTCTTGGATTGATTTTCAGGTTATTTTCAAATTGCCATAGCACCTGAGGACCAAGAGAAAACTACTTTCACATGCCCATTTGGAACATTTGCATACCGAAGGATGCCATTTGGATTGTGCAATGCACCTGCTACCTTCCAAAGATGCATGGTAAGTATCTTTTCAGAGTATGTTGAGAAGATTATTGAGGTTTTCATGGACGATTTTAGTGTGTATGGTTAAAGCTTTGAAAACTGTCTAGATAACCTGAAATTGATCTTAGTAAGGTGTATAGAAGCTAATCTCGTGCTTAATTGAAAAAAATGTCACTTTATGGTTGAACACGTGATAGTTTTGGGTCATGTAGTATCATCTACAGGTATTGGGGTTGATAAGGCAAAAATAGATGTTATATCTACTTTACCTTACCCTGCGAGTGTGCGGGAAGTTCTTTCCTTCTTGGGTCACGCAGGTTTCTATAGAAGGTTCATCAAAGATTTCTCAAAAATTGGAGCACCCTTGTTCCAACTTTTGCAAAAAGATGTATCCTTCGAATTCGATGAAACATGTAAGGGGGCATTCGATAAACTAAAGGAGTTATTGACTTTCTCACCTATTATCCAACCCCCTGATTGGAACCTCCCATTCCAGATCATGTGTGATACCAGCGACTATGCAGTGTGTTGATCTTGATCCCTATCTTTTGATGTTTACAAAACAAATGGATGTTACTAATGTCTCTTAAAAGATCTATTCAGTTATGAAACAAATTAGTTCCAAAGATCAAGTACAATTGAAAGATGACAAAATATGCTGAAGCTGTCGGACGCTCAAGAAGTCAGGATCGGACGTCCGATAATCATTGCACAACTTCGGACGCATGCTTCGGACGTCCGATAGGATCCTTCGAAGTCGACGAAACTATCGAACGCTGAATATGTCTCTACCGGACGTCCGATAGAAACAAGATAATTTCTCAAATCTGTTTGTTTGCTGTCGGACGCACAAAGAGCTTGCACCGGACGTCCGAAAGAATTGAAAAAAATCTCTGAAACTCACTGCCTGCTGTCGGACGCATAAAACAGGGCTATCGAACGTCCGACACTACCAACGGCTAGTTGACTGTTCAGCTACTTTCTATCCGTTGGAAGCATTAATGAGGCACTTTCTTGGTCCTATATAAATAGTGGTTGGTCAGACACTTCAAATAACTTTGGCACACTGAAGATACAAAAGATCTAGAGAGATTTTAGTGAGAAAATACTCTTCAAAGAAGATTTGTAGTCTTAGTGGTGTGAGGTTCATTGTAAGCTTTTCATTTGTTAGTGAATAATTCATGAGTGTAGCTCTGTGAGGGTTGTCCTGAGGGATAGTAAAACTTCCTGGCTTGACCGAGGGAGTTCGGGGCAAGGAGGAGGTGAACCTTCCTTTGTACACAAGAGTGATTGTAATTCATCAACTTGAAGTAGCTTGTTTGAAGCACAAGAGGAACTGGGTAGTTAATTGGTTTGCAATTCTTTCCTTTTACTTATTGTTACATTTATGATCTTTAAATTGTTTATCTCTTCTACTCACAAGCACTTGTGCTTTCTTATCAACTGCTCCATTGTGTGGTCGCCTAGAAAAGGGTTGTTTTCGGGCCTTACAATTGGTATCAGAGCCAGGTTTCCTTGAGATTAAGCTCAATCGGCTTGGGAGTAAAAATGACAACCAATAATGCTATGTTTTTTGAAGGACATTCTGTTATTAGACCACCTATGTTTAATTGGTCAAATTATATGAGTTGGAAAGAAAGAATGATTATCTTTTCGCAATCTATTGATATCGAATTGTGGTTTATTATTAGTGAAGGTCCATATGATGCCTCTCTTATAGATGAAAATACTCATGCATCTAGACCGAAAACAAGAAGTGAACTGACTGCTGTGGATAGAGCTCATCTCACCTTAAATGCAAAAGCCATGAATGTGTTATATTGTGCATTAGACTCAAATGAATCTATTAGAGTCAAGGGTTGCAAGTCAGCTAAAGAAATTTGGGACAAACTGAAAGAAATTCATGAAGGTAGTGAGAATGTTAGAGAACAAAAGAAGTCCATTCTAGTTACAAAGTATGAATCTTTCAAGATGGAACCTCATGAAAATGTTGATCAAATGTATTGTAGATTCAATGATCTCATTAAAGATTTAGAGGTGCTGGAAAAAGAATATTCTCTTGGTGAGAAAAATAGAAAAATCCTTAATGCCTTGTCCAATGATTGGGAAAATAAAGTGACCGCTATTGAGGAGACTAGAGATTTGAATACTATGCCTATTGAATCTCTTATTAATTCTCTTACGTCTTATGAGCTGAAACTTAAGACTAAGGTGCAAGAGGAAGAGGATGCAAAAGTGCGAAAGAATATTGCTCTAAAAGCCTCACAAGATGAAGATGATTCTGCCTCCCTAGATGAAGAAGATGTGGAAGGTGATGACAATGATATCGTTCTCATCACAAAAAGTTTCAAACGAATACTCAACAAGAGGAGATTCAGAAAAGGTGGACCTAGCAATTCATTCCCAAATCAGTTCAACAACTCGAGAAACAAAGGGAAGCTGGAGTTCAACAAAAAGCAAACTGATCAGTGCTTTGAATGCGGCCAACCTGGACACTATGCAAGTGACTGTCCAGTGATGAAGAAGAAAGAAGGAAGAAAACCAAGAATAAACAAATTTCAATTCACATGGAATGAATGCAATTCCGATGGTGAAATTGAAGAGGAAGATCAATCTGCTCAATTGGCTTTCATGGCCATTGGAGATGATGAGGTAACATCTTCTAACTCTCAATCTGATTGTGATGATGAAACTGAAGATGATCTTGAACATTTCATTATAAAATTGCATGATAGTTTGAAAGAATCTTATGCTAGAAATAAGGAGTTAAAACAGAAAATTAGTTTTTTGTTTCGAGATAATGCAAATCTTTTTCAACAAAACAAAAAGTTCATTGCTGAAAATGATTACTTCAAAAAGAGTGAGACTGCTTTACATTTTGAGCTTGATAGAAAAGCATAACTTTGTGATTAGTTCAAAAAGGAACAAGGTGATTTGAAAAGAAGAATGGATGGTCTAAATGAGTTGCTTAAACACAAGAAACAAGTCTGTTTTCAAAAGAATAGGTTGAATTCTAATTCAAATGAATTTGCTATCCATAGGAGAAGACAAGTAAGATTTATTAAACCTGTTCATGTAAATAACTCTTTGGTTATGTGTAATTTTTGTTGTCAAAAAGGTCACATGAATAGTGATTGTTATGTGAGAAAGAATATGAGAAGAGGCATGAAATGCATGTGGATAGTTAGACATGATGCTAATTTTAACAAGTAGGAGGTTTTATCTAATCATTGCAGTGATTCTTGTTCATAATATTTTTTCTTTTGATACTTTGATCTGAGTTTTCGCTGATATCTTTGAATACTACTGAATCTATATGATGTCAAAAAGAGAGATAAAAGAATAATGCTGATCTCATGATGATTTGCTGTGATTGCTGTCATTTCTCTATTTTTTCTTGGAATATTGAATTCTCTGTTATTGTTGCTGGATTATAGTAGTTGATTTTTACTCTTATGATGACAAAAAGGGGGAGAAATGGATGCAATGTGTAAGGGGGAGTTATTCTGAGATTATGAGTTTGGCTCTTAAAAGTTTTGGTTGCAATGATTGAGGGGGAGCTTATACTTATTTTTGT